TTCAACTAATGTTATGCATCTTTATTCTTCTTAATATAAAAGATTTTTATTAAAAATAAAGAAAAAATGAGATCCCCCTTCCTCCTCCTCCTCCTCCTAACCACCCTCCTCTTAAGGAGGCTTACGCCTCTTACATTCTGAACTACGCCTCTAGGTAGTGGAACGCCTCGCGTCACGCAACTCACGTCTTCACGTTTTAAAATATTGGGTGGGAATTAACATTGCTCATAATCCTATACAACATGGTCACACCAAACATTATAAAGTTTATTGACATTGTTATCAAAGGTGGCTTCCAGGAGGTGTGGTTACCATACAAAGTGAAAATCGGCTTGCTGATTTTTTAAGGGTGTCACCACTTCTAAGTTGGATGACACTCTTGGAAAGTTGAATATGATGCATGTCTATTCTCCACTTGAGGATGAGTATGGTAATGCAAAGAGTCAGTATGCAGGATAGTTTAGTCTTCTCCTATTTGTTAATGATGCTATATTTGTAATTCTTTAATTTATTTAAGTTTAAATGCAATGAGAGTGAGTGGTAAGATCTATGTTCGCTTCTCTCAAATATGTATTCTCTTTTTTTTTCTTCTTCTTTTAGCTTTTATTTGATAAATTTTAAATGTTCCAAGTATATCCAATGATGACTTAGAGAGAAATGACATTATATTCTTAGATCATTCCCAAGTCTTCATCTCTAGAGACGTACTCTCCTTTCTGTATTGCTAGGTAGCTAAATCAGTAGTTGATAGATCATGGTCTTGCAAGAGCTGGGGTGTGTGTGTACATCGGTGGCTTTACTTCATAACTTTTTTCTTCTGAGAATTGGTGTTTACAATCCTTTTTTGTATTATCCTCTCATGTAAGCATTTAGTACCTTCCTCTTAGTGAATATACAGTTACCTTAACATGGTCTTATACTCTTATCATAGTTGTGCTAAATGGGAAGTCCTTATTTTGGTTTTAGTTGTTCTATGAGGAAAAAACAAAAATTTATGTTAACTTCAGTTTTTTCACTTCAAGGTATTACAAGTTTGTGTTCTTTTTGCTTCTTTCTATCCATTCTCACAGATTTTACATTAATTGAGCTAAAGAGTTTAAAGATTCATTTTTTTCAGGTTTCTCTCTCTCTTCTCTGAAAGAGTTAAAATGGAAGATGCTGATGATATACATGCTGCTTTAGCTTTGATGTATGGATATGCCGCAAGATATGCCCCTTCAACAGTTATTGAAGCAAGAATAGATGCACTTGTGGTATAATATCATCCTCATCTTCCTAATGAAAATCACAGTTTTTGGTTTCTGGTAACTGGTTTTGAGTATAATTTGTGGAAACTGGAAACTGATCAAACCTTGAAGTATAGTGAACTTTTTTATTCAAATTCACATACAGTGTGCATGAAATATATTCTCAAAATGAATCTTTTGGTGATTTAACTTCTAGTAATGCTTCCTTTCATATTTGTTGTCTGTATCCTTAAATATTAGCAGTCATATTTGTTAACCTTTTGTGGTGTCAGGGGACTAATATGCTCTCACGTCTTCTTCATGTCCGCTGCCATACAGCAAAGCAAGCTGTTATCACTGCTATTGATCTATTAGGTGCGCATTAGTGTCTAGAAACCAGATTTGCAGACCTAACATTCTTTTTTTCTATTATTTCGATGGGATGTAAGTTCAAATTACATTTGTTTCTTTTCTTTGCTATGATATATATGAATAAAATCATACCCTGAACATGTGCTTAAAAATGCAAATAATAGTTGAAGGAAGAAATATAAAGATGGAAAAATTAAGATCTAGTGGATCGAAAAATTTTATTTCCAAGAAAGAATCATACGGTCTATGAGATTGTGAGTTTCACCACTTGAGTCTAGGCCTAGTTAAATGCTGGTCCAAATCCATTAATTCATTCCAAGGGTATTGAGGGTGGTGAATTGGTAAACAAATGAAAGTAAGTAAATTGCAAAAGAAGTGAGAGAATAAGATTATGGTAAACAAATGAAAGATAGATCTTCACTGTTGCACTTGATGTGAAGTTCTAGGACAATGCATAAACTAGATTACCATATTGAGTGAGCAATAATATGGAAGACACTATCGATGACAGAAATAAACTAGATCTTCCTACTTTTTCTTCATTATGAAAGAAGCAGTACAATGACAGAAATACTCTTGATGTTATTCTTTGCACACTTATTCTACCACTGTAATCCCTTACTAGATCAGCCATAGAAAGAAAATAATCAGATAAAAATAGATGATGCAAATAACCTGGAAGACACTATCGATTTATCAAATTCCAACACAAACCACTTTCCAACTCTATGCACCTCTTTCATCTTACCTTCTGTGGTGGTCTTGTATCACAAGAAAATATAATAAAATTTCCATCATCAACAAGCTGACCAACTCAAACCAAATTTCTAGTTAATTTAAGAAGGAAAACACTAGTGGACAAGAAGGGGTGGGAAGAGATAAATTATCAATGCTAATGACAATGAGATTGGTGGTGGTGTCTATAAGATGAGCTTTAAGGTCCATGTGGGTTGGGAACAGTCTGAATCTTGCAGTTTCTCAAATATGGTGCAGGTTGTTTTATTGTTGAGCTGATCTGTTGTATGTTACCTTTTGCCATCTTTAGTATTAGCCTCTTTTGGGTGGGCGGGTAGCTCAGTGTTTCCTCTGTTCAGGGTGTTATTGGCATGGCAAAAGGAAGTACTTTTTCTTGTGTAGTGGGCACTGGGACTTTTCTACCAGTTGTATTTTATTCTGGTAATGCAGGTCGTGCTGTCATCAATGCTGCTGAAAGTGGTGCATCGTTTCCCTTGAAAAGAAGAGACCAATTGCTTGACTATATACTGACTTTGATGGGTCGAGATGATACTGACAGCTTTGCTGATTCTAGTCTTGAGCTTCTCCGCACTCAGGTTTGTTAGGATTTCCTTTCTGTAATATCAATCTTAATTTTTTTTACTGTGTTGAAAATGGTTTTAAATTTAGCGATTATGTTAATCAAGGTTTATATGTAGTTTACATGTAATCCATGTTTAGTATAAAAACAAATTGAGGGACCACTCCTATCTTGTACTCTCTCAATGCACCAAGTATCTACAGAATACACAAGTTGGTATAAGAACATTATTGGTGAACACAAAAGGGACTAATGAGCATCAGTGACAAACTTAAGAAGAATTTATTGAGCATTTAAGGGAAGCTCTTCTCCCAAAAGTTGGGAAAAGAGAACTGATACAAAGAGAAGTTTATAATAGCATTCAAAATACAAGACTGTTTTACTGTTCAGTGACTACAAATTCAACCTCTAGCCAAAGAATCAGCAAGGCAGTTGGCAGGCCTTGCTGACCACTTGAGTGAGCAGTATTGATCCATGTGGGTATGGGTATGGATATGGGTATATGGGTATGGGTGTGGGTCCATACGGGTATGGATGCACAGAGATTAGGATACACAAGATCAAATACAATAGAACTCCTTTTTTTTATCAATAAAACCAGCTTCATGAAATTAAAAGAAAAGAGGGAATATGGATACAGGAGGGGAGATAAAATATCTTAGCTCCCCAAAAACAGAAAACAAAGGGAGTACAAAGAGAAAAGATTAAAAACTAGCCCATAATACAGACTCCCTATTCACTCCTTGCTTGGCCAACCCATCCGCAAATGAGTTGGCACTCCTCTTCACCCAGCTGTACTGAATCTCAATGTCCCTACCCAGCCA